AGATATGTCATAAGAGTCGTCATATGCAATTATCCTTAATATGACTATCTATTAATTTCCTTCTTTCCCATGCTTCCCTTAAAATGGGCTGCAGAGTTTGAAGATTGCACCCATTTCATTCCATAATAGCTTACACTTAGAAAATGTAATTTTAAAATAATTTTAGAGTGTATATCGTTATTTCAATGTCAACAGTAATAAAAAATAAATAATTTTATAGTACAATTAAATGTTTTTATTTTTTAAATATTTGGAGTCTAAAGCGGACACATACAGTCAAAACCGTTTAATTGCGAAAGCTTGGGACCGAAATATTTAAAAATTTCGCAATTATCCGATTTTTCGCAATTATACGATTAAAATTAAACAATTTATTTATTAAAAATCAGTTTGGGTTTTTTATAAAGATATTTATCATCTATATATATTTTAATCATATAAGCCATCAAACTTTGCAATAAATACAATAATCTAACCAACTATATATTTTAATTTGAATAAGTTATGTAACGAATAAAAAAACTAAATTTTAAAAATTTATCTTATTTGTTGAAACATATGATCATAGCTTTTTTTTCTTCCCACCAATAATCCTATATTTTTATCGTCAATTCATCAAGTTATTATTTTATAAAAAGTATTCAATTAATTTAGATCAATCAAATAATATTAAAATATCTGAAGCACTTGAAAGTAATGTGTTATATTTTGATATATATATTTATATTTTCTTTAGATCTAGACATGATTATAGACAGAAAGGAACAAAGAAAACAACACTTTTAATTATAAAATGATTGTAATTATTTATGTATTAGCATTATAGTTGTTAATAAATTATTTTTTATTGAATAAAATTATTTCAATTAAATTTGTTTACTTGATTTTATCTCATTTTTTATTTAAGATATGTAAGAATTAAAGCAAAAAAAAGCTTTTGTGAAAGATAATAACATTTTTTCCTTTACAATACCCTTATATTTATTTCCATTAATTTTAACTACTTTTGTCATTTTACCTTCATTAAATTTACTGAAATATAGTTTTACACAAATATATTATCACTTTTTAAATTCTAATTTATTATTAAAGCCAAATTTTAAAATATTTTGCCTAAAAAACTGGAAACAATTAGATTAATATAAAAGAATTTAAGTTTATTAAGTGTTTTGTTTTCATTCACATGATATTTGATTTAAAATCCTGTGCCTATTCAAATCTTATGAATTCTAATATTATAAATGTAAATGTATTAACAGACCATGCTGGAATGAAAGTTTATTAATGCTTTGTTAACATAAGATTTTATTTGAACTAATTTTATTATACATGCATCACAATTATTATAAAGTAATGTAAGATTTAATAAAAATATTTTGTGATAAGAGTTTGGCTAGACTCTGGAGTAAATAATTCTTTTTCCATTATATTCTCTAGCTTTCTTAGTGAATCTTGATCCCTTAGATGTTCATGACCATATTCAAGAAAAGTATAATAACCATTAAGAGCCTGATTTTTTGTAATTAAATGATCAGATATCTTTAGGTTCCCTTCGTCATTCTCGGAGCTTTCATAACCTTCTATAAAAAATAAGATTAATTAAATTTTAAGTAATTAAACCTTCCAACTCTAATCTTATCTGATTACAAATATCCTGATCATCTAAAATTCCATGGCAGCTAGCATCATCATCGTGTAACACATATTCTTCAAATATGGGATCAAATTCATCTTCTTTGTTGTCAGTTAATGCTATATCATCCTCCGATTTCCAATCAAATGCCATAGACTTATCAAAAAATTTAGCTTCAATAAAACACTTTATGATTGTGGTACTTGTCACCTCACCCCATGCAAATTTTATAAGATAGAGGCTAACATAAAGTGTAAATCTTTTATAAAAAAAGGTGGTGTCATTTCCTTCCATCAATGTTATCATTTTTCTCATGATACCCTTTCTATAATGACATTTAAAGGATCTAATTGCACCCATGTCCAAAGGTTGAATTAATGATGTTGTATTTGCTGTTAAAAAATGTTAATTTTGTTTTGTGACAATGCATCTTGTCACAAAACAATAAAATTTTCTTCTTTAATGAGGAATCCCATTCTTTAAGAATATCTTCAAAAGTTGAAGTTGTCATCCAGCTGCTTTTATTGGAGTAGTATTTTACTGGTAATTTTTTATTTTTAAAGCACCTAGGGTTTTTAAATTTCCCTACAACATATAACTTTTTATCAGATCCATCCCCATTTATGATAAATAGAACTGTGGCCTTTTCCTTGTCTGGTTTGAAGCCCAGTGGTTGAGTTCCAAATTCCATTGTGCCCTTTGGTAATGCTCGGTAGTATAGTCCTGTCTCATCACAATTGTAAATATTACTCCTTTGATAATCTTTAATCATAGATGGGAGTGTATTTCTGCTCCATTCATTTGCATTAATAATATCTGCACTCCCCTTTTCATTGCAAACATTATGAAAATTTATATTCTGTCTTTTCCTAAATCTCTGCAACCAGCTGCTAGTAGGAATGCCTATAATTTATATATATATATTATAAAAACTTTCATTGAATGTTTGGCTAAAAACATAGCTTTTTCTAACATCACAAGCCCATTTAGACTGCAATTTTTACTTCGCATTTGGGTAAACCAAACCAATAAAGCTGCTTCTGTCTTTGGGTAACAACTCATTCTAACTCTTTTAGTTGTAGGAGGTTATTCCTTAGAAATTTGGAGCATATATTTTCTTTATTCGCTATTAAACGGTAGATTGTCGAGACGTGGCAATTGTAATTTGATGCTAATTGTGTTTTTGATGTAGTGTTTAATTTATCAATTATATTTCTTTTTTATGCTTCAGGGTTAATGTTTGGAATAATTTTTTGACCATTTTTATATTAATTTCTGGCGTGGTAATGAATGAATGGAAAAAGGTTAAATAAAAAAAATGATAAATAATTTTTTTCGATAAATTTTTTTTATTTTTTCACTTATCCGATTAAATTAACGTTATTGTTATATAAATGGGACCTGAAAAATTTTGCAGTTATCCGATATTTCGCAATTAACCGATTCGCAATTATAAATGTAATTTAACATTATACCATAGTAATTATTATCAAAATCGCGGGATTTTTTCGCATTTAAAAGTCTTTGCACTTAGCGATAAGCAATGGTTTTGACTGTATTACATAATGAGAAAAGGGAGAGAAAAACAATTTTATTTCTTTATTTTTCTTTTCTTAAAATATGAAATCGTACATAAAAAAAAATAATTCTCTTTTTTTTTCGCGCTTATATATTTATTTTTTTACAAAATCATCGCCGTTTATTTATTATTTTATTTATCAAAAGTCAATCAACTTTTTTTAATATTTATTTATTTAACTCCTTATTATTCGTATACTTTGCCATTATATTCCTATAGTGCTAGGCATAATAGCTTGCTCCCTTAACAAACCATATTCAATACTTTTTTTATTCAGTTAGTAATCCCCTGTAATTTAACTAACTTAATTACAAGTTGTAATTAAGTTAAAATTTTTTTTTAAATTACAAGTGTTTTATTTTAATTATTTTTGCAAAGAAAATAATTTTATATGGATAAGATAACATGTTTCATTAAATCATCACAACTAAGGGAATGCCAGCGTTGCCTGTTTGTATATAGAAAAAAAAAATGTTTTTTTTATTCTTTAACTTTAAAAAAAAATTATTCTGTAAAAATACTCTTCACCCTACCCATAGTGGTGCCGCTATTTTATTATGAATAAAAATAATCGTAAGAGGAAAATAATTTCCAGGAAAAGAAAGAAAACATGATAAATTTTCCACAAAAAGCCTAAGATATGGGAACTAATTGAAAAGTTGATGATGGAAATAGCCGTCGACGGACAAATCGGCCAATAGAGGAATCAGGCATACACTCCCAAAAAAAATCGTAGATACCATACAAAATATTTTGAAAAGATGATGATGGAAATAACCGTCGACCTGGACAAATCGGCCAATGGAGGAATCAGACATACGCTCTCAAAAAAAATCGTAGATACCATACAAAAACAAAATATTTTGAAAAATTTAAGTATTGATATTTTTTAAAAGAGAGATGAGACTTGCCTAATTTTCTCTTGGAGAACATATTGTTTCATTTGAATAATATAACTTATTTTTCTATATATCATTTATTAAAATTATAATTATTTCTTACCTGTAAATTTAAAAAAAAATTCATAAACAAAATAATAATTGTAAGATTTGAAATATATAATATTCACTGCTTATAATCACCTCTGAAATAGATATTTTTATGAATAAAGTTCAAGGTAACAACGTTACTTTTTTTTACATTACTTTACAGCACAAATTAATATATAAATATTTATATTTTAGAAGGCAGATTTTATAATTTTTATTCTGATCATACTTAGGGTTGAACATCTGTTGGTTACCGGATTAATTTATTAATCTATTTAAATAAAACCTATGATTGACCAAGACATATAAAAGTCTAATAATAAATTAATCAATTGTTTTAGTTATAAAAATCAGCAATATATAATCAAAAATGATTATTTGAATAAAATAAGGATTCAAAATTTAAATTTTGTATTTCTTTTATCAATTATCTCCTTCTTTATACTTGTTTAGATGGACTAATCAATTGTTTTAGTTATAAAAATCAGCAATATATAATCAAAAATGATTATTTGAATAAAATAAGGATTCAAAATTTAAATTTTGTATTTCTTTTATCAATTATCTCCTTCCTTATACTTGTTTAGATGGACATGATACAAAAAAATTTGAATAATAAAATTTTATGTTACAAATTTTATAAATTATGGATTTTCTCAAATGACAATAAAATTTAAAATATCCTTTATTAAAATATAATAAATAATAAATAGTAATATGACATTAAAAAAAACTACAACTTAATTAATATGCAGAAAAAAATTTCATAGATGGAAAAGATGTAATCCATTTCACCAATCTTTTCCTCACAAATATAACACCATTCATTCTCAATATAAATATAGAACTTCCAATATAATTTTACTTTCCCAAAGAATAATAAATTCAATTTTTATATGTTAGCATTATTTACAATTAATAATAAAAATATCTAAAAAACAATTGAATATATTTGTAATAAAATGAAATTTACATTGAAACATATTCACCACCATCCTGATAAATCTAAAGAAGAGCATTATGCAATTATGAATAAACTTAAAGTACAAATTATCCCCACATCACTGTCTCCAACTTCTTGTGGAGGATTGAACATTTGACTTTCTTCCAACAAGTTCCCAGAAATCCCCATATCACTGTCTCCAACATCTTGTGGAGGATTGAACATTTGACTTTACTCCAACAAGTTCCCAAAATTCCCCACATCACTGTCTCCAACTTCTTGTCGAGGATTTATCAAAGGAGGCACTAATGTCATGACTTAAGGAAAAATATATTATGAAAAATTTGATTAAATATTTATAATAAAATTTAAAAATAATTTTGTAAAATACTTTCTCTTCTTCCACTCAAATATTTGCAAATATCTAGAAAACAATAAATCACATCTTATATATTAAATAATTTACCGTTGCATGCTGCTGTTTCAGTAAATAGGTTATTTACTGTGTAACCTCTCCCGAGACAGGTTGGAGAAATAGAGGTAAAATATATTTTATTTTTATAATAACTTGACTTTCTATATGTAGGTATCATTATTTAAAAAATTCTAAAAGATTGTTATAAATATAAAATATCTATTAGAAAATATAAATAATTTACCATAATTATTGTTCTTCTAATGTTCTATTTCTTAGAAAATATAAATATTCCTAATTTTATCCATGTGTTCAAATGCTGTTAAAATTATAAAAGATATATGATAAATTTTAGAAAAAAAAATTTGCCATACATCATTAAAACCAATTACCTTGGCCTTGTTCAGAAAAATATTTTCTAATAATATAGAATCTTGCTAATACTAAGATAGAATCTTGATAATACTAAGATAGATTCTTGCTAATACTAAGATAGAATCTTACTAATACTAAGATAGAATCTTACTAATACTAATAAATAGTAATTAAAACCAATTACCTTTGCCTTGAGGTACTGTATTTATATTTGATATTAGCTTTTAAGGTTTAGTCTTTATTTTATAATTTTCTACAAAATGGTATATAAATAGCTTTTGAGGTTTAGTCTTTATTTTATAATTTTCTACAAAAATGGTATGTAAATTTTTGAAGTTTAGTCTTTATTTTATAATTTTCTACAAAAATGGTATGTAAATAGCTTTTGAGGTTTAGTCTTTATTTTATAATTTTCAAAAATGCTATATAAATAGCTTTTGAGGTTTAGTCTTTATTTTATAATTTTCTACAAAAATAGTATGTAAATAGCTATTGAGGTTTAGTCTTTATTTTATAATTTTCTACAAAAATGGTATGTAAATAGCTTTTGAGGTTTTAATTTTCTACAAAAATGTTTATGTAAATATTAATTAAAACCAATTACCTTTGCCTTGAGGTACTGTATTTATATTTAATATTAGCTTGGTTTCGTCTTAATTTTAGAATTTTCTACAAAAATGTGTATGTAAATATTAATTAAAACCAATTACCATTGCCTTGAGGTACTGTATTTATAATTTTAGAATTTTCTTGGCTTTATTTATGTCTACCCTATAAATATAAGGATGCGAGAAGGATTCCGATTCCAAGCGCCGATATTCATTCATTCATTCATTACCATGCCAGAAATAGGAGTTGTAGCGTGCACCATGTATATTCACTAGTATATACATCCTAAACATGATGTATACCCGTTTTATTATAGTGGACGGTACCACTATGTAGTCAGCTAGCATAGTAAAGAAGAGAGGAGTAAGAAAGAGGGGATCTATTAGTTCCGTTACCGGCAAGATAGTGTTAAGAATTGTAGCTAATATCAATAATAATGTACCTGACGCCTGGTTAGATTTAAGAGATGGGAAAAAAATTCTTAATGTTTGGTAAGTATATCCTTGGAAGCTAACGCAATGTCTATATAACATGTCCTATTCCTGAGGTATTCAACTTCTCTGTAATTGTAATCTCACTTCCTGAAGTCCCTTGTCCTAAAGAGCTTATTGTCTTCGTCTGATTTATTCCTTCTTTTATCCTCAATCATTTGTCATTCTAAGTCAAAAAGTATCCCCATAGATCCTTGTCTGTATTAAGCAAGCGATGCTCGGAATCCATGTTATTCACTATTATCATTATTATATTGAGCCTGGAGATCGTTATCATTATTAATATTCATGGTTTTAGATTATCATTGACTTCGTCAAAAATCGTTTATCCAGTAGGGAAAGGAAAAAGGGTGTTATAAAGGGGAGGGGGAAATTTAGAAAAAAAAATAAAATAATAATTATACTTATCTCATCTCTTTTTATTTAAACCATAATTCCAATTGCGCCAAAACATAAGTTGTCATTAGACTAGGGATAAGAGATTGGAAATAAGGCAGCGAGAAATAGTCTGATACTTCCACGATTCCTGCTCTAGTTTAAACCATATTTAAGCATGTATTGTAGATGTTCCTTTAAATGTTTCTTGTTTTTGCTGAGTGCAAGAAAATCTATAAACGTAAGATTGATCAAGTCTATGTCCTTCAGACATTTTGCCAGCCAATAGTATTTGGGGGTTCTTTGCCTATCATAATCCGGGGTCCACTTCAAGGCGAAAATATCATATTCTCTCGTGAATGTCTTAAGCAGTGGCCGAGTAATTCTAATCTCCTCAGAGGAATGAGTCGTTTGATAGGTAGGATGTCACACCTGTTCCAGAGAGTTGTGTTTGGGGTGTTGTATGGATAGTAAGTTTTAGTGATTCTTCTTAAGCACTTGTTTATGAAGGTCTGGGATGTGTTGATGTTGCTTTTAGTGTCCTGCCATGTTTCCAAACCGTATGTTAAGATGGGTAGAATTAGGGATTTAAAGAGTCTTATTTTTAGGTTCGTAGATAACTGGTTGGACGACCATAATTTAGTTAGCTGATGATATCGGGATCGGGCCTTGTTGGTCCACGACTTAGTTTCCAAAATGGTGGTGCCTAATGGCATTATTCTGGTTCCTAGGTACTTAAAATCCGAGACCGTTTCTATCACATTATCCTCAAAGTTAAAGGGGTCGCTGTTATATAGAAGGATATTGGATGCAATTAACTTTGTCTTTGAGTAGTTGACTTTCAGTCCGTATCCAAAGCAATTTTTGACAAACAATGACAGCAAGTTTCTTAATTTGTACTCAGAGTTAGCTAATATGCATACATCATCGGCATAGCATAGAAAATTTAGAGAGTTGTGTATGTTATTATCATATTGTTGATTCAGATATCGAGGGTTAAGAGCATGTTCTTGTTTGAAGGATTTATTCAGAATATCGTTCATTATTACATTAAATAGCATAGGTGATAAAATGAATCCTTGTTTCAGTCCTCTGTTGGCCCTAAATGGTTGTGATTTTAAGTTCAGATGTTGTGGTATCACGTTATGATTATCGTATATTATTTTTATAGGCGAAATCAGATGTTTATCTATTCCTATCTCCTCAGTAAGGGCCAGATCTTATGCTGTATGATGGAGTCAAAGGCTTGACTTAGATCAATATTAGGGCAAATATTGGGGACTTATGCATTTTAGCTTTCTCCAGAATAACCTTAAGCGCCATGGTTAGTTCCGTCGTGTTCCTGCCCTTCCTATATGATGTGATGGCGTTTGAGAGGTTTCTATCCATGATTGGTTTAATCCTGACGGCTATAATATACGTGAACATTTTTAGGGTAACTGGGATCAGTGCAATTCCTCTGTAATCCCAAGGCTGGTCGGGTTCTTATTTTTAGGGAAATTAAGTATTATCGAGGTCATCCATTCCTCTGGGAAATTGCCAGTATTCCATATCTCATTAAAGAGGGGAAGCAGTAGACTAGCACTTAAATCAGCATCTATCTTCCAAAGTTCCGCAAAAATCCCATCGATTCCGGCTGCTTTATGGGTTTTTAGTCTTTTAATGGCATTGATTATATCTATTCTGTTCAGGTTCCTATTAGGTGGTTGGAAAGGATAGTAACATAATGGTTTAGGCCACCTTGTTCTGTAAAGGTTCATGTAATGGTCTGTCCATATCGCTAATTGTTCCCTGGGGTCCGTTATAATTTTATTATTTTCAATGTGTAATCTTGGTAGAGGATTGGATTTAAAGGTAGTGAGTAACTTAAGAGATTGGAAAGCCTTGTAAATATTATTGTTGTCAAAGCTATATTGAATGGATCTAGATAAGTTGGCAATAAAATATCTTTTATCTGTTCTTATGCAGTGAGTTATGTACCTTCTGTGGTGTTTAGTATATGGTTATAGGAGATATTTGTTGTTAAGTTTTTAATTATCTGTATTGTTGAAGGGGATAGCCATTCTTTACGTTTAATTCGTGGTCTTAAGCATGAATTCATACAGCTTGATAAACTTAGTTTCATATCCTTCCAAGTTATATTTTTATTGATCATGCCATTTTGGGTGTTTCTCCAAGTTGTTAGATTGGTGATGAACTCTTCCTTTATAACCGGATCATTCAGCTGTGCCAAGTTTTTCCTCATTATGAAATGTGTAGAGTTAAGGTGGCTATGTTGATTTCGGTTTGGAAAAATGCTATTTTTTATCCTTAGCTCGCATCCTAGTGGGTAATGGTCCGTAAATAAGGTGAAGTTCAGTTTGCTTACGACTTTGATGTCCTTCACCCACTTAAATATATTGTTGGAAATTACAAAGAAATCAATTTGTGAGGTAGTGCCAAAAGATGGGCTTTTGTAGGTCATGGTGTGATGGTTAGGATGATTGAAGAAGGTATTTTCTATTTTCAAATTGAAGTGTTCACAGATTTCTATTAGTTTTTTGCCATTAGTGTTATTACTTTGTATTAGAGTGGCGTTCCCGAGGCAGGTAGAATTGTTAGGCTTCCCGACCGAGGCATTGAAATCGCCAGCTAATATGATACTATCTCGATGAGGTAGTTCTTTTAAGAAATTTTCCAGCTCTTTGTAAAAAAACTTTATTATTATGTGGGGAAAAATATTGAACAGGTGAATTTTCTTGTAACCAATATTTAAGGTAAGGCAGCAAATGCGACTGGAAATTGGATTAAAGCTTACATATTTAATTAGTTTGTTATGGATTAAGATTGCTACACCTGCCCAAACATGTTTAGCATTCGAGCTGCAGTATAAGGTGTATTCTAAGAGATTTCTTACTTCCGTTTCTTTCAAATGAGTTTCTTGTAGAAGGAGACAAAAGAAAGAAAAATGAATCGGACCGATACCGAGAATGCCGTTTATAGAGAATGGTTTTATAGAGAATGTAATTTATAGAGAATGATTTTAAAGAGAATTATTTTATAGAGAATGTCCTTTATAGAGAATGACTTCAAAGAGAATAATTTTATAGAGAATGTTGTTTATAGAGAATGATTTTAAAGAGAATTACTTTTATAGAGAATTATTTTGTGGAGAATTATATTGTAGTACAAATTATTTTGTAGAGAATTATTTGTAGATCATGATTTTATAGAGAAATATTATATATGGGACAATTATAGAGTTCAAAAATTTTATGCGGGATTTGAAAAAACACCCCCCCCCCCCCTTTCAACAGATAAGTTTGAATAAATAATTAGTCCTAATGATACGAAGAAATTTAAATATTAATGATAATTATACTTGCTTATAACCAGATCTATCTACCAATAATAAAAGGACACTTAACCATTCAAACAATGTTAAACAGAACCTTTTACCACAGGGTAAGGGGTTATAATTCAAGTTAGACATTGAAATTAAAAGAAGTAGTTTGATTTGGAATTCCGTTATGTTAAACAAGTGAAAAAAACCTATAAAAAACATTCTAAACTTTTTGATTCATCTTTCTCTAAACTGATAAGGAGTTTACGGCTTGTAATAAGAAATTTTCATTTTACTAAAATCAATTTAGAGAAAAAGGTGTATTATTTTTGTCGATATATAATTTTTAGGTAAGAGTTTATCATTTTGTATTTTGTAAATTCAGATACAATTATTTTCGGACCTATGATGATTTCGACAGAAATTGATCCAACCACCCCCTAGTGTTCCCTCCTACCATGTGAATATTAGACAGTACTCTAGTGATCTTAACTTAATTTTGGTAAGGCGATAGGTTGATGGGTATTGTTTTATTTTTTGTTGTTATTTGCATTTAAAATCATTAATTGAGTGCGTTTTTTAAATTTAAAAATCTGATTTTGCAAGAAATGCACCTGAATAAGTGTAACATACCCACCCTTAATGTTGCGCAATCGGTTAATTTTAGGCAATTCCAAAACGGTTAGCCAAGTTTTTAGGCCAAAAAATCGGCTAAGCATAATTAGGCTTAGCATAAAAATAGGCGAAAACGAATAGTCAAAAATTAGGCATCCGCTAAGGAGCTCGGTTAATCACTCGTCATATATCGTTACATAATAAATTTATAAAATAATTTTAATAAAGGCTAGGCTTAGTGTTGCATAACGCAGACGGGCGATTAGCCTAGCTCCCAGTCCCTACATTTTGTCTAATTAATTTTAGGCGATTTTTCTGTTAAGCCAAATTAGGTTTAGCTGATTTTTAGGCTACTAACATTACTTATAAATTTCAGATTAATATAAATTAAAGTTTCTTCAGAAGTTCAATATAAAATCTTCTGAAATTTATAGGGTGGGTATTCTACACATATTGGAATGCATTTTCGGCAAAATCAGATTTAAAATTTAATAAAACGCGCTCAATTTATGATTTAAAATGCAAAAAATAGAACAAAATACCCATCAAACTATCGCCCTTACCTTAATTTTTACTAAATTATATAGATTTTTATTATAAATTATTAAATACAAAAAATTTTGGCGAAATCGTATGAAATTCCCAGGGTAGATTCACTTCGGAATAGATTTGGTAAAATCAGATTTATCAGGGAAATTAGAAACGCGCACTATAAATCAGAGACCTACAGGCCTTTTAAATCCGGCCCGGATACACGGACTGGGCTGTATTTTAATTTTTTAAATATACCCGGGCCGAGCCTAAAATTTTATTTTTTTAAATACACGGGCCGGGTCAAAAAAGCTTTTTTTTTAAAAACCCGGGCCAGGCCATATATTTTAAAACCAAATATTTTAAATCACCATTATTATCTAGGCAAAAATATATAATATATTTTTAAAAAATCGGGGCCGGGCCATGCAGATTAAAATAATGCACAAAGCAACTAAATATTGACAAAATTTTCTAAAATAATTGGCGTAAGGCTGGCTTTGTTGCTAATAGTTTTTTTAAAAAATTGCTACTCTACTAGTTAAAGCAAAGCACTAATAGAAAAATGCATATAAAAATGTTAAGTTATTAAGATTGTTACTAATTTAGTAATTCTTTATTTTTGTGAAAACTTAATTTTCCAACTTATCTTATTGCTTTCCAAGTGATGGTGTAGGACATTGCTTTTTTGGAAATTTTTCTTAAGCCTACTTTGATGTTTTCCTTTTCTAAATATATTTAATATTTCGCATCAAATATATATAATAATAAAATATTCTACATTGTAATTAAAAAAAATCTCAAAGCCTCTTATTGAGTAGATTTTCCAGATTAAATATCCTTAGCCTCTTATTGAGTAGATTTTCCAGATTAAATATCCTTAGCCTCTTATTGAGTAGATTTTCCAAATAAATATCCTTAAATATATTTTAAAAAATTATATCAGATTAAATCTGGTTTAATAAGTGCCAAAAAAAAAGAATTAGATGGTGAATGGTCATATTTGAGAAAATTTATTTCTAAAATTATTCATTTTCTATAAAATCATTCTCTGTAAAATTCTTCAATATAAAATTATTAATCCTTCCCTATAAAATAATTCGCACTAAAACAATTATCTGTAAAACAATTCTCTGTAAAACAATTCTCTGCAAAAATATTCTCTATAAAATCATTCTCTATAAACGAGATTCTCTACAAAATCATTCTCTATAAACGAGATTCTCTACAAAATCATTCTCTGTAAATGAAATTCTCTATAAACGATATTCTTTATAAAAGACATTCTCTACAATTGTTTTCTCTATAAAGGTCTCTATATTTGCTTCTCTATAAAAGATTCTCTGTAAAGACGGGATACCCAATATTAGCATATCATTTTTTTTATTAAAAAAATATCAAATAAAAGAAATCCATTTACATTTCATAATATAATAATATAAATGAAAAATATATATCATATAATATGTTTATTTGTTGATAAATAAAATATTAACATTATATATAAATAAAATAAATTATTTTAATAAAAATAAATATAAAATAATACTCCGCGTTATATTTCGCGAAATAGTTTTCGCTATATTGTCTTTGAGATTTATATTTCGCGATATTGACTTCGCTATAAAATTTTTGCGATTATTGATTCGCGATAAAAATTTCGCGCTAATGTATTCGCTTTAAAGGTTTCGCTGTAAAAAATTCACGATATTTGTTTCGCTATATTGTTTTTGCGGAAAAGTATTCGCTAATGTTGATTCGCGATAAAAGTTTCGCTATAATATTCATTCGCGATAAAGGACATTCGCGATAAACGACATTCGCGATAAAAGTTTTGCTATAAATGTTTCGCTGAATTGACATGGAACCAATTTAAATGACTTCAAAATAATTGCTGATCAATTTGAGAAGTCACTTTGGCAAGCACATTGAGATTAAAAATCCTCCTAAATCTGGGAGAATATATTACAATTATAAACACTATTTCTCCATGATATTACAAGCATTATTGGATGGTAAAGGTAGATATATAGTAATTGCTGGGACATTATGACAGTGAATCAGATGGAGGTATATACTCAAATATTATATTATGAAACCTTATAAAAGTAAGTTAATGTTACCAATAGTGAATGAATTATAAAAACTTGTGCACTGTTACACAACTTAGTGATTGATAAAGAAAACATAAATCTCCACCCTAAGGATACTCAAGATCCTGAACAATGACTATTCATAGTGAGCTGACGCGACACGACATTCCCGCTACAATTGTCGCATTAAACTTAGAAATCAAATTACAAAACATTTTGTTATTTTCAAAGCGACATAATTATGATATGGCCGAAATAGAAAATTTGCAAGTGAATTTTTGAAATGCTATTAAAATAATAATGTTATATATATATATTTTACAATATAAATAAATATGTTATATATGGAGTAATATCAGATGAAAACAATATTTAAACAGGTAATTAAAGAGTATATTAATTTGAAATATTTTTCATTTGCAGTTGAGATGGCCAAATCGTCATGGAAAAATTTAAGAGATTGCTTTATGAGGGAGCATAAAAAAATAAGTCTTTATAGAGTGGGTCACTCAAATAATTGATCATGAAAGACCTTCCTTTAATTATAATATTATCACCAAAAAAAATTTAAAATGCAAATTTTATTATATATTTTATTAATTCAATGTTGAATGATTATAATTACATAAGTTAAAAAAAATATATATATCATTAAAAAAGTAAACTACCCCAAGCTCCAAATTGGAAATATTTAATGAATCTTGAAATTTAGTAGATATAGTCCTTATAGCAAAATATTAAAATACTATAAAAATCAGGCCAAAATATCTTCAAGTTTTTTTATTACCAAGATTATAAATGTCATGGTGTATTAATTACCCCATCTTTGTATACATTAAAAATAATGCAGAAAAATAAGGGATTGGTTTTGTTTTTATTTTTTTTATAAATTGGGTAAGTTACTAAAACTAGAGGAAATTTTTAATATTTTTTTTAAATTTCTTTTTTATTAAAAAAAAATAAAAATATGCGATCATGAGGATAATGATGGGAATTTTTTGATGTAATAATTCCAGAGTTGTTAAAAGATACTTTTTAAATGGATCTAGATACAGATACATAGTCTAAAATTTATCTAGATACAGCTTCTAAAAAGTTATCTAGATACAGATACATTTTTTATTATACTCTTAG